ACCGGAAAATTTTTGTTCTCTTTTAAAAAACGAGTTCCCCCCACCTCTAACAAGCTTAAAATGCTCCAGTGTCCCAAAATTGATCCCCCCACTCCATTTCTTTTTCTAAGGAAGTTCAGAACACGTGCTGGTACTTGGACCATGGCCTTAGCCCCTTCTCTTGTAAAGCCCTTGTCTAAGGGAAGTCTGCAGCCTGAGGATATCGTCGCCATCTTTCCCATGCGTTCCGCATCGTGCTGTTAAACATCACGTCGACGTTGCGACTCAGTCGTTCATCTCCTTGAAGCGCCAGCACGACGGGATTGAAGCTTGAGGGGAAGTCAAAAATGTCATCCATCAGGTCAAGAAATAAGGTCAAGAAGCAACCCTTCAAAATCGATCAATCAAAACCAACACCTTCTTGATTCTCCCTTTGAGGTGTTAAGTGGATCTGTCAGCAGGTGTAATCTTCTCTGTATCTTTTCACTTAGTTCGACAAGAAGATGCCCTAGCAAAGGTGTTCACAGTGTTTAAAGCCATCTGGAAGCTCCCCAACAGCTTGAAAGGCCAGGGGTTGTTAGGCTCGCTCCATATAAAATTCTCCTGGAGATTTTTACTGATTTTTCGTGATAAGGCAGTTAAATGAGGGGCAAGGATGTAGACGCTATCGAACAAAGCTTGAGTTGTTCGAAGCTCTGAATGGCGTTGCTACCACTTACTCGCCAAGTCCCTCGCAGTGCCCATGGCGACCACGTGAGCGTGGACGTATGTACTTTGACTAGATAGTAACATTTGTACACTCCACCCACCAAATCGAAACGAGCAATAGTACCGTGTAAGATCGGCGTCAAATGCCTCGACATAGACGTGAGAGCGACCTGCTTTGAAAAGCTTAGTATCTACAGTATTTGAAAGGGAAATGTCAATACGTGTATGGGTACTCCGAAGCTTCTTCTCTCTATTTTTCGAGAAAGGTACCCATTTACAGAGTTGATTAAATCGCTTCTGTAGGAGTCATGGACGATGATATAGGCCCGGGGTAATTGTCTCACTCGTGTCGACGTCGACAGACAAATACACATTATATTCCTCCTGAAGTAGTGAGGGGTAGTGCTGGTTTGGAACAACCCTTGTTCTGAACGTTCCTTTTGTTCCAATTAATCTGAACGTTCAGAACTGTTCCTTTTGTTCCTAATTGTTCCTATTCATTTAAGTTGGTTGGACTGAGCCAAAAGAAAATCAGCAAAAGGGAAAAGAAGCTGGCGCTCGCGTGCACACGCTGAGCGCGAGAATGCGGTCTATACCCTCGCCGACTGAAGTGCTTGCCACGCCTACCAGGCAGTCTACCCTGATTTATCATGTATGACTCGCTCAAATGATGACCTTTCTATAACACCGGGTTAAAAGTCATGCGGATTCTCGAAATTGCAGACATCCCATCCCGCTATTGTGGGCTGATATATTGTGCTTTCCAATGGAATGTCCATCAGTGTTATAGCCTAGATCGAGCATGGTCGGAGCATAAAATCACGCGTAAAAATGAGATGGGAAGACGCAGGCATCAATTGGTTTTATTTATGATCGAATTACCTTTTCGAAACGGCAAAAAGGGTCGGTTGATCGACCCCGAACAGTCGATTTGGCTGCCGTAGCTCGATTTATTAACCATCGATTTGTACTTTTTATAGACCTCGATTTAATAAAACGCCCTCTTTTTATTATAAATCGAGCATCAGGCTAAGTAAAAAGGACAAAAGCATTGAAATGCACAATAAGATTTAGCCTAAGACAGACAAGTACGGACAACGAGCGCACTGACATGTCAATCCTTCTGAAGCACAACCCAAGAAAGATTCATCGTAGAAAGCTTGAAGACAGCTATGATTTATAGCTACAGGAGCGCCCCAAAAGCTGCCTGGGGTTTTCTCGAAACTGAGCAGATACTTCAAAATAGCCTGTATTTTACTACAGTATTTTAAGCGTTTCACTCGTCGATAAAGCACTACTATCGTATCATACTACAGGAGTAGTACTAAGAGATGCTGAAGTAACGTTACTTGAAAAGTTTGATGCAATTCCATTCTACTTTCAATCCTGATCGTGCAAAAGCTGATTGAAGAAATACTTTGCCAGTATGTAAGCTACTCCAAGGAGATTCTACCATTGAAAACCCATAACAGAGGTACTGTTTGCGTATGGTTGACCACTTTTCATCTACGCAGATGATGTCAGGTTTGAATTGTACGCGCCGTCGTAGGCATCATCTGTACTGAAGAAACTTTGAAGGTAATACTCCGGTGTGGCCAGATTAAAGGCAGGCATTTCCTTCACACATGATTTGTTCAGGCGGGTGAGGTCCCCACCAACTCGAACATACGACGCCAACTCCCAGCGGGTTTCCTGCAACCATCTGGGTCGATACAATTGTGCCGTGTGTTGCAAAATCAAAGGCAACCATTTCCTTATTCGTGCCCTGCAGATATTTAAACAAGCTCGCAGCGTTTTTGTGGGGAGTCTGAGGGTCCAGCTTACCACTTAGCACCAGTACGCTAGCTTGATTTGGAATCGTAGCAGTCTCGTTCCAGTACTGGTCACGCTTGTACACGATGCCGTCAGATTCGTAGTTACCCACGTTTATCTCTTTACATGACGCCGACTTGTCTTTTGAGAAGGCGCAGTACTGAGGAAGCGTTTCGTAAACCCCGCTGCCACTGCTCATTTTCACATTCGTGAATCTGTCCTTCAACCGTGACATGGATGGCAGCGGTGTTTCCATCATTTCAGAGTACACGATAAGACTCTGCAGAAGCGTCGACGTATACGCGCTGTCCTGTGCTGTAGTTTTCTCGCTATAGGTGATAGCCGAGAAGAAATTATTCAAAACATCCAAGTCGTCAGGAGCGCAACGCTGGAGTCGATAAACA